CCCCAAAACCCCAAAACCCCAAAACCCCAAAACCCCAAAACCCCGGAAGTGGCTGGTGGTGTTGAAATTTGGTAAAGTGTACTATTAGGGAGGGTGTGGTGGGTTGGAGATGTAGGGCCTCATGCGGGCAGGGGGTTGGGAGTTGAGGGAGATTATTGGTGGGATATAGGGGAAGCCAAATGGGTGCGGCTGTTCGGTAAGCTCTATGTGCTGAGGGTGGATTTTGTCGTCTTGATGAGCTCAGTAAATTGAGGTGAAATCTATATCCAAGTCTGAATCCTCAGCGAAATGTTTAGAGTAATCTGGATCTTTTTGTAATAAATACATCGTTTGTCGTCTTAGCTTCTTTATCATATAAATAATATTGAGTCAATCCAACGACGTGTTAAATTGATCCAAATTATTAATTGGTTCATCTTTCTTCCAAATAAATTTTTTAATATTATTTGTTGTTCTCCTCCACTTCTTCCTTAATTTCTTCAATGTTTTGACTGATCTTACTCTTGGCTAGCTTCGAAAGTTTTTTAATAGGAATTCTTTGTGACTCCAGCTTTTGGAGATCATACTCCATATTGTTGTGCTGAATGTCAATTTGTGGTTTATTTAATAAAAAATTTTCTTCAAAAATTTTTGATTCCTCCCTCTCATTCTTTGATTCTTCTTTAAGATCTTCTTCTTGTTGAGGTAAATTATTTTCTTGAAATGAAGAGGGAGGTTGATTATTTCTTTGGATATTTTCTTCCAATTTGCTAATAGATTTCTCCATTTTCTGGAACTTTTCTTCATATTTCTCGATATCATTCATTAAATCTCTCTTAAAGATGTATGAGGAGTACAATCCGATAATAATTCCAAAGCCCACTTCAAAAATCTCGAAAATACCACCAATGATGCCAGTGACTTCTAAAAAGTTAAGCACTTTCCTTCTGTGTTGATCTATTTGCGAATCTTGAGTGATATATATAGTTACAAATCCATTCCATCGAGTTTCATCAACAAAATCTTGCTCTGCTACAGTAAAGTCTTCAATACTGTTAAAGTGAATAGGATCGTTACCTCCCCAAGGAAGAGTGAACAGAGTGTCTTCTAATATAACTTCATGTTTTCTTAGCTTCATATTTACATGAACATGTTTGTTCAAATTAAAATAAAGTGTAGGCATCACTTCTAAATAATCCTTGATAGGATTATCTATATCATTCAGGTCAACATATCGATTCATTACATAGATTTGTATATAAGTAGATTCTAATAAATAATCGATAATTTGCTGTGGAGCACAGTAATTGTTCCATATATCGTCTCTACATTGTCGGTACTGCATTAGAATCGAAGAACGATCGCCATGTGTATTAGTTGGCTCAAATAATTTATTTTCCTTTAAACTTTGGGCAGTGAGCCACTGATCCAACACCTTCAATGTTATCCAGAGACATTGGAAAGAAACCATCTCAATCATCATATGGTATATCTGCTTCAATAATAGAATCTGGATTTGATATATTTGTGCTAAGGTAAGTATATGTACTATTAGAAATACTCTCCGACTTCCTATTATCTAAACTTATAGGATATTCAGCACTCCAAAATATCTTGAATTGAGGGTCATCTTCTCCCCAGACCAATCCTTCTTGATTCAGATCATAGTCATTCCGTATTGTGTTATGATTCCAGCTTACATCTGTTCTATTGAACATTGTTCTAAACAGCAAAATACTATAAACCACTACTATCACCATTATAAAAACTGTCCCTATCGACCCAACAAGACTGGTAAAGTTATCTTTGCCTCTGTACGTCAAAGAAAGAGTCTGCTTGAACATGTCCCTATTTTTGAGTCTTGCATAAGTCCACTTCAAAGTCTTTCAATGAATCCTAGCCATACTTTCGTAATAATTATTTTCAACTAAATCTTAATTCTGGGGTTTTGGGGTTTTGGGGTTTTGGGG